GAAGAACTGCGTAATCTTCGAAAAACCCTGATGGAAAACGGTTTCCCGCCCAGGTTCATAGAAAAGAATCTCAAACCTAAGAAGACTTCTGAACAAGTCCAATCCGTCCCAAAGAAAATGCTTCTGCTTAATCTAGAATTCAAAGGTGAGATTGAAGCAGAAATCCTTCGCAGACGCCTCTCAAAATCGCTGAGGAAAACATACTTCGCCGCTAGCCTACGACTGACGTTTTCCTGCAAGAAACTGTTCAGCCAGAACGCGAAAGACAAGCTGTCGCATTGGGCCACCTCAACGTGCATATACCAGTTTACTTGCTCTTGTGGAGCTGAGTACGTTGGCCGTACCATGCGCCGACTTGAAAAACGCGCTCGTGAACACTATCCAGCCTGGCTAGTAAAAGGAGAACGAAAACGGGTAAATAGTTCGGTGACAGAACACCTGGTGAATTCAGGACATTCAGCGCCACTCGAAAAATCCTTCAAAATCATTTACAAGATTCGATCAAACCCATCAAAGGGAGTAAAATCAAGACATCTGGGCATAGCCGAGGCGCTAGCTATACAAAAGCTCAAACCCACGCTTTGTATACAAAAGAAATACGTCCAACCCCTGTCCTTGCCATGGCCATCATAAACAAGTAATTTTTAGTAATCACCATCCCATCGCCTTTCTTATCTAAACTTCCTGTTTATTCATGTTATTTCAAGTTTTTCTTAATCCCTGTTTACACTACCATATTTTCATACCCGAACTTAGTGTTTATTTTGTCATTTTACTATTTCTACATATTTAATCCCTGATTGCATAAACAATTATTCATCACATTAGTTTTTATCCAAACATCCTGTCTATTTTGTTATTTCTACATTTCTAACCCCTAATTGCACAATGTCAGTCTTCTTAGTTATTTTAATGCTATTTTGTTTGTTTTATCCATCCCCCTGTTTATTATGGCATTCTAATTCCCAATTTTAATTTTTATTAATTTGACCCTTGACCGGATATTATTCTGGAACTTTCCCATCCATTTGATATAAATACACGAATGTACAGCCTAGATGATGACTTCGTCGAAAAGAAAATTTTCTTCGCTGCAACTGTCTTCTTATTTACTCCTATGACCCAATGTGTATATTCCGTGATTTAAAGAGGAGCAAGGACCGTTCGACGGTAAGGGAACTGAACAAGTTTCTACGTTTGTCCGTCAAGCTTGCTGAGGCGAACGCAAAGATTTTCTTCTTGAAGAATTGTCTCGAGAAACATGAATATCCCAAAGTATTTTGGAAGCATCTCAGACGAAATCACATATCCCCTAACTCACGTACGCTGAAACGACACACTCTGAATCACATCGATGCAGTGCGATCAAGACTACCTGAGCTAGAGCAGAATATCTCAAAAAGCTCCCACGTTCTCCATGAGTTATCTGAAGACGAGAGAACAGCATTCGAAAACTACTCCAATACGGTTACAAAGAAAAGAACAGATGATGTTATAATGAAACTAAACCAAAGCCTAAAGTCCGTTACAAAAGAAACCGTCTTTCCTACTTGTCCAGAAAAATACGTGTACAATTATTCTGATGTTCAACTATCTCCAATTCAAATGCAAATCTTAGCACTTGGGCCTAAGTTTTGTGATGCAACGTCAAAAGTGAATGAACTCAACACGAAAGTGCAATTTGAGAATTTAATCGACCAGACGAAAGATCTCGTCCCAATCTCATATGAGAATGCAGAACTTTTCAAATCAACCGTTTTAAATTGCTGTCTCGATTATATCAACAAAAAACCCAGCCTCCGTAACGTCCTTTCCAAAGAACATCGAAAGGAGCTGAAAGAACTGAAAGATAATGAAAACTTGATCATCACGCGACCAGATAAAGGCTCCGGAATCGTCCTGATGAACAAATCAGACTACCTAAGCAAACTCTCGATGATACTATCCGATGATAAAAAGTTTCAGAAACAGTCTCCACAGAAAGATCCCACTGAACAGACGGAGCTCCAGCTAACAAAGATATTGAAGAAAATGAAGGACGAATCCATTATCAGTTCAAAGCTATACGAACAACTGCGCCCATCTGGTTCTACAACGCCACGTATGTACGGCTTACCCAAGGTACATAAACAAGACGTCCCACTCCGCCCAATACTAGATATGATAGATTCCCCATATCATACAATCGCGAAATGGCTGGTGGAGATTCTCGGGCCGGTGAAAGAGAAGCTGTCAAGACATAACCTCTGCGACACATTCGACTTTGTTGATTCAATTAAGAATGTCAATGTGGCAGAAAAGAAAATGGTCTCCCTGGATGTCGTGTCTCTCTTCACCAACGTTCCACTGACAGAAACCGTATGTTTCCTTTGTGACTACATTGAATCCAATAACATCAATGTCGATATACCAATTCATTACCTGAAAGAACTGTTACTTCGATGCACCTTCAACGTATACTTTAGTTTCAACAAAGAAATATACAGGCAAGTAGATGGAGTAGCAATGGGTTCTCCCTTAGGACCCCTTCTAGCCGACTGCTTTATGGCTAGCTTAGAGAACAACGCCTTATCAACAACTATCAACGACCTCCATCTCTACAAGAGATACATCGATGATACTTTCATTATTTGTGATGAGAACTGTGATTTAAAAAACCTACTTCAAATTTTCAATAATGCCCACCCAAACATCGACTTCACACTTGAGACTGAATCCGACGGAATGTTCCACTTCCTCGACGTCCATCTGACAAGAAACGCCGACAACTCCCTGAAAAGGTCCATATACAAAAAGCCTACATGGAATGGACAATTCATCAACTTTCAAAGCTTCGTGCCCCTGAGCAGAAAGAGGAACCTGATATACGCTCTTTCCTCGAGGATTCGGAAGATATGCAGCGAGGAAGTGGTTGAAGAAGAACTGCGTAATCTTCGAAAAACCCTGATGGAAAACGGTTTCCCGCCCAGGTTCATAGAAAAGAATCTCAAACCTAAGAAGACTTCTGAACAAGTCCAATCCGTCCCAAAGAAAATGCTTCTGCTTAATCTAGAATTCAAAGGTGAGATTGAAGCAGAAATCCTTCGCAGACGCCTCTCAAAATCGCTGAGGAAAACATACTTCGCCGCTAGCCTACGACTGACGTTTTCCTGCAAGAAACTGTTCAGCCAGAACGCGAAAGACAAGCTGTCGCATTGGGCCACCTCAACGTGCATATACCAGTTTACTTGCTCTTGTGGAGCTGAGTACGTTGGCCGTACCATGCGCCGACTTGAAAAACGCGCTCGTGAACACTATCCAGCCTGGCTAGTAAAAGGAGAACGAAAACGGGTAAATAGTTCGGTGACAGAACACCTGGTGAATTCAGGACATTCAGCGCCACTCGAAAAATCCTTCAAAATCATTTACAAGATTCGATCAAACCCATCAAAGGGAGTAAAATCAAGACATCTGGGCATAGCCGAGGCGCTAGCTATACAAAAGCTCAAACCCACGCTTTGTATACAAAAGAAATACGTCCAACCCCTGTCCTTGCCATGGCCATCATAAACAAGTAATTTTTAGTAATCACCATCCCATCGCCTTTCTTATCTAAACTTCCTGTTTATTCATGTTATTTCAAGTTTTTCTTAATCCCTGTTTACACTACCATATTTTCTTACCCGAACTTAGTGTTTATTTTGTCATTTTACTATTTCTACACATTTAATCCCTGATTGCATAAACAATTATTCATCACATTAGTTTTTATCCAAACATCCTGTCTATTTTGTTATTTCTACATTTCTAACCCCTAATTGCACAATGTCAGTCTTCTTAGTTATTTTAATGCTATTTTGTTTGTTTTATCCATCCCCCTGTTTATTATGGCATTCTAATTCCCAATTTTAATTTTTATTAATTTGACCCTTGACCGGATATTATTCTGGAACTTTCCCATCCATTTGATATAAATACACGAATGTACAGCCTAGATGATGACTTCGTCGAAAAGAAAATTTTCTTCGCTGCAACTGTCTTCTTATTTACTCTTATATTTATTCGGCCAAAGATAGTGTATCAATTGCTGTAACTAGAAAATGCAAAAACTGAACAACAGTACACCCCCATTATGAATTTGTAGGTATCATTTACTTAATTTAGCATTACAATTATTCAGACAACTATTTTGTCTGTACAAATCGAGGGTTGGTAAGTTTTAGCAGCTCTCAATGACGATTGTACTTTTTAATTATATCAGGATAACGTGTCATCTAAGGCTACCAAAGTGTGATTATTAAAAATTTGTTACAGTACTAACAGCCGCTTGTCATGTACGCCTGAATTAAATGTGATTATCGTTCTTTATTATTTCGTATATTTCAAAGGGTTAACCTCAATATGTAATCCATTTACCTTTATAATAATAACAGCACACTTTTGTCCAGTTAATTTAAAAAGGAATCCGCTTAATAACCGGTTCACTAACGCGATACATGAAATGACCTAAAAAATTAGTTGTTTCATACGAGCTCAATTATCACAAATAATGCTAGAATGAACTCCCATCGATTTGCGTGACTGAGTGTAACATTAGTTTCATAAGTTTATTAAATGTACAACTTGAATTAACTAAGCCTAGTAAAAACATTATAGGAAAATATTTTTAATATCTCCTTATGTTTTAAAATCTGAAGTGGTTTAAACATTTAAAGTGTATTAGTGAGTACTTATTCAAAATAAATAATAAAGGACTTTCTAGCTCGTCTAATTATTATAAGAACGATTTAACTGAAGACAAGAGTCCGGACGATGAGTACCATGATGACAAAACGTAGTTTTTTTTTTAAAGTGTCTTCTGTCAGACTTGCTTATTGAAGTTGCATTCTAAGCTGTTAACCAATAGAAATAATTATTTCACTACCGGAAATCTCTTTTCTATACTAAATTGGAAATAATACATAATTTCCTATTTTCCATACTTACAACAAATTTATCTGTGACTTCTCCCTTTCTTACAGACAAGATATATGATTCCAGCAGGTGCTGTCAAGTCTCCAGGATCAAAGAGAGAGTAAGTAAAATGAACTGTGTTTGAAACTATCTTTTGGTCAACTACATATTTATCATACATACAACAGATATGAAAGTGACCCACCTGCCAAGTTTCTGATCCGTGTAGAATTATACTCTGTATAATTGACTTTAATATACTGTGACACATATTGAAAGAATCCATAAGAATGCGATACATATTGGGAAATAATATCAAGCTAAATAAAACGTCAACTACGTTTTCGAATTAATCAGTGGAAATGCAAAAAAGCGGAACAATATGTCGAGATCCATTGTCATATACAGAGTACAACTTTAAATAAAACATTTTGAATATTAATCCACAATTTCGGAAATAATAAAGACTAAAAACTTATGATACTGGGAGGCAAAACACAGTCAACAGAACATACATTCACTACATAGACTGGGCCACACAAAAGCTTGAGTGATACAAAACAGTAGGGTTAACTTTTCTAAGTAATATATATATATATATATATATATATATGAGAGTTTGATGGATTTTAGGCTTACAACGTGACTGGAACTTTGTTCAAAGTGAACACTATTTGTATCTAAAACAAAGTTTAATTTGAAATCAACTGAACTAGTATTGATCATGTAAGACATGATGGCATCTGCATCACGTTCAGGTCAGATGTATATTTATTTATCTAATTTATTCAAATCTTTGTTGCTGCAGTTTTGCGCACTAGGATACGTATTAAGCCATGCATATAAGCAGCTGTCATTTTTGTTAAATCAATGAATTTACATCCACAATTACACTAAAAACAATTCTGAACCACTCCAAATTTATTGTTACCCTTTATTATCGAATATATACTACCGCAAGCGCATAAAGCTGGACACTGCTTGCGAAATTCATCAAACATTCTTATAACTTTCGTGTAAGGATACATTTATCATTTTGAGTAGAAAAAAATCTAATGATCGAGTTAATTAAAAACATTTCGAATTTTATCAGCAGTGTTTAAGTGACAGTTTGGAATTATATGCAATATCATTATCTTCCTTATATTGTTGGTATTAGATGACTGGAAGCAGTCAGTGGAAAACTTTGCCCTAGGTTTCGTTCTAGTTGGCAATCGTCATCAAGGCGTACCTGCACTCTTGAAGGAATTCATGTCCCTTCTGAGATTCTGATGAGTGCTAACTAGCACGAAACTTAGGTCCAAAGTTTCCTGCAGATTGCAACCATTTCTAACCATCTAATACCAACAATTCACAGTGCACCGTGATGGTGAACCACCTAGCATGGTGGCCACATTGCAAACTTGACTGATAGAATTCAGCCTGCACCAAAGAGAGGACTAGATACACACACATTACACTAGTTATATGTTAGTAATTCTATTCTTTTTGTTGTGTACAACATTTTAAGTGATGAGACAATAAATTAAAGTGAATTGATCAAAAAATCTAACAAAGGTTACCTATCATTATGGCGACATCGACTAAGTGAAATAAGTCACTGTTCACCTATAAGTAACCACTAGATTATTCCCCTTGGGGGATTGAACTGATTCCAAGGATAATTTCATGACAATTCAGCATCATCCAAAGAATTACTGGAAACCAAGAAACAGTGAGCAACTGTTTTGTCACATTTTCAGATCTAATTGGTGGATGGTAACTAGCAGTGGAATCCAGGATGCGCATTTCGTCCTATTTGGAACTCGTCATCTGGATTTACCTGCATTCCGCATTGAGTGATGATGCTCCCACTGAGGCTCGAACCCAGTGACCATAGTTTCAAATGCCAAAGCGTTATCTACTAGACCATTTGGGCCACTAGACCCACCACTTGTGCAACAGGTCATAGTGATTATTTTTTATTGAATTTTAGATTTTCCCGTCGGTTGATTGGACCGAAGTGCTCGGTCCCATAGTCACCATCCATCAACTAAATTCTATTTACATGCCCAGATATTGTCAAAGCATCTGCACAAGAAGCCGACATGTCAACCTGAGACCGAGAACTTCGGTCCAATCAGTCGACGGGAGAATCTAAAATTGAATAAAAAAACATTTTTCAGATCCTTTAGAAAATTCACTTTTTCGTACATAAGATAAAGTTCAAGACCACTAATTTTATAGTCTAATATTTATATTATGTATATATTATATATTTTAATGGAGTGGCCTTGCTTTTAGTGTTAAAGAACGGCAAGTAGTGGTTTACATAACTGACTTTCTGTACTTTTATTAGAATTTTATGAAAGTGTGAAGCTAACATTATCATACTGTTGGATTCTTGATGACATTATTGATGAGGAACTGTCACATTGAAGAGCAGTATGCCTAAATTAGGAATTGTTGGGTCATAAACTGTAAACTGTATACCACTGGGATTCATCACTGTTACAGATTGATGGTAAGTGGTATGACATTCAAGGAAATAATGATTACATACCACCAAGAAAAAAATCAAAATCTGCAACCAATAACTCAATATGAAATAATATTATTGGATTAAACGGCTAATCACATTTCTATCTAATTCTCCAGAAAGATACTAGAGTGTCTTACACACAAATATTAAGCAAACTGCGTACAGTATAAAAGCAATCATTCAGATTACACATCCAGTTATTTTACTTCAGGCAGATAAATTACTACTCTTTGCTCTATTCAACTAACAAAGTCAGTATTAAAACCGCCTATCATCTCGTATTTCAAATATTTTTTATGTATTCAATAAACATAGAAGACAATTCACTTTGAAACTAAGAAAAATGTTTTTCGTCATACTCCCACACGACATTTGAGCTAAATGAAAAATAAAAATATGTATTTCAAGACAAACAATCCATTCTTCAAGAAACAAAAGTATGCTTATGCCTAAATTTACTGGAAAGCCATTCAGTTGTTGAATATTAAATTTTCCTCAGCTTCAACTATTGATGAAAATCCTGTACCAAGTAAACTGCCTGAAGAGCTTAGCTGAACACTGGACACATTGAAAAGTAGAACTCACATGCTATAAAGCAATGAAACAAACTGATAGGTGGAAAAATGCAGAACCACTTTACGATTTTATATCTTTATGCATACATATCACAATTGCTAGCAGGGAATTCACCAGAAATCCATACTGCAGTTATGAAAATATAGATTTAAACAAATAAAAATTATCATCTTTTAGAAAAAAGCTTCCTAAGAGACGTTAAATAAAAATATATATTCCCTCACGTTCCCAGTGGATCATAGGGTTTCAAGCTAGTGGCTTGAAGTTTCTGTAGCTGTGTTTGTTTTTACAGGTTGCTAGCCTCATGCCCAACCTTTCCTCTTTACCAGTCTCAATACTGGTTTAGCAAGGTAAAGGAGTGCGTCGGCCAGAGATCGAACCTCGGACCATGTTCATGGTCGGCGAGCGTTCTAACCGCTGTGCCACCGACGCATATATATATATATATATATATATATATATATATATATATATATACTAACTCTCCTAATGTGAGTAGGAGATTTTAAGATTCATTGGTTATGAAGCATATTAGAACAAGACATATAAGCGAACCATATTGTTTTCAATTAGATCTTCTTCAGGCTTTACTCTAATTTACATAGATTTATTTATAAAAATTTAAACCAATGACGGTGATTTTGTGAATCAAATAATAATATTGTCTTTACATATAGCCGAAGCTATGGGAATCCGAGAGAACAATCCTAGTCTTTGCATACAAAAGAAGTTTGTTCTACCTTTGTCTCTCCCATGGCCTAGGTAAATTCTATTCAAAACCCTCTCACCCTTTCCTATTTTCCATCTCCTTCGTATTTTTATGATGTTTATTTAAAGTCTGACTATCTGTCCACTTCACCTTTAGTATTACGTAACTTTTAAGATTTGACCTAATTTATTTATTTAATTGTCAAGTATTGGTTTTGTAGGGATTTTGTTTGATTGCATGGAGGATTTCACCATGAGCTGACATCAGTTAGAGAACTACTGGAAAACCTGGGAGTACTGGGCAGCTATTTCGTCCTTGTTTGGGACTCTTCATCAGTACGCACTCACCGGGGTCTATACCTTTGTTATTCTTATCACCACCTGCATAAACCTCATTATTTTGGGGTCACGCTAAATCACGAATTCGTAGAAGTTAGAATTCATGAGCCATTGTATCAGGTCCCAGTGGCTGAATGGTATGAGAACTTGCCTTGTAAGTGGAAGGTCCTGGGTTCGAATCCCAGTGGGTGCGTACTTCCGATGATTCCCAAACTAGGATGATTCAGCAGCTATCCAGTACTGGTTTTCAATGGTTCTCTAACTGATATCAATCCGTGATCAACTCGTGAAAACATAACTAACCCTCACAAACCAAACTCTAGAAAATATTTTGTTATCATTATAATCATTGTTATTATCTACGTTCAAAACATTTACCACATTATTATTATTACTCTTATTTGACCCACAAAATCACCGTCATTGGTTTAAATTTTTATAAATAAATCTATGTAAATTAGAGTAAAGCCTGAAGAAGATCTAATTGAAAACAATATGGTTCGCTTATATGTTTTGTTCTAATATTAAAAAATGGGAATATTTAAAGATATGAAGCGTATCGCATTTTAGCTGTTTATATTATAGAGAAGTATATGATTCATTGGCAGGATACCTGACACCCACATAAGGGAACAGGATTCGATTCCCAGACTGCGTACTTCTAAGCCCCATCTAGCAAATAACAAGCCCGGATAAGAAGGAAGGTTGGGTGTGAAGCTAACAACTCGAAGCTTTCATCGCCCTACTGGTGACATCTTCAGCGCATACTTCGCAAATTAACAATTTAGCTCAGAGAACACAACCACATCAAAATCATCCACCTGAGCTACAAATCTTCTCTATCATATCTAAAAGATTTTTTTCTAAATAAACTGTGGAAGTATCTCTTGATTTAATGTTGAGTATGGTGCAATCGTTGACAGCTCAATATTCAGACTTCTACTTGCGATTATACATATATTTTTTTTAAGTGACTATGCATAGATATATTGATCTCTTGTTAATAAGCAAATGCCTGTAAAAAATTAAGATGACTAGTTATGCAACCGTTTCAAAGAATTAGATGTCTAAAATCTTTCTGTTTATATTACCTGTAGTTTTATTAGACATTTATTTTATTTATAAATTATACAATTACACTATATTCCCTTCAGTATTGTTCAGGTTATTGATTCATTTCAAGCAAAGGCTGAACAAGAATTAACAGTAGAGAAAGGAGAATGGGTGGAGATCGTAGAAAAGAAGGGAAGCTGGTATAAAGTTAAAAATAAATTTGGTGAAGATGGATACTGTCCAGGATCAGTACTCAAAACTCGAGGAACCATATGATCTTAGAAATGTAAGTTACAATGTTGATGACAGAATAAATTGATTATTTCCTATTGTGTTGGTAACTGACTCAATCATTTCCAAACTTACTGTTAATAATAAGAAGCACTTGCAAATCAGTAATAACTAAAACCTTTGAATAATGTAGGTTGTAATAGTTGAGAGAGAAAAATTCTAAAATATTTAAAAGAAATAGGTAGTCGACATCAGATATTCTTCATGCGTACATTAATTTTGTGCAAAAATTTAAAAAATCACAGTGAGAAGTTTAAAAAGTTTGCCTTGCATCTGAACAGATCCAAAATATTTTAAAGTTACTGCCTTAGCCAAATAATTCCGAGACTATTGTTTGCAATTTCGCTAAAAACCAAGTAAGTAACAACACATTTTGTTTGGTATCATTCTTCATATCGACTGTAGTAAGTTTGCTCAACTCACACTCAGTCACACATTACCAAGTCTCAACAATCAGTATGAACGTGTATAGCGTCAATTAGACCACATTCGAATCAATATCACTAAATATACATACTATTTAACCTGTATTCAAACGATACAATCAGAAAAAATAAGGTTCAGTATAAACTTGTTTATTCTTTCTTAACAGCGTGATATCAGAATAATAGACATTTGATAAAAATTTCTAAAATTGAAATATACAGATTGCATAGACTTCACCAAAAATTGGATATACTAAGTAGACGTTCTGTAATCGTGCATAAATTGCTAAGCAGTTTTATTACCCAGAATTAATCTAATATGATGCTGGTTTACTTTTTCGCCATCTCAGATGCAATCAACTAAATTTCGTAAATGTACCCAACCTGTTTTTCTATGATCTGTGTAGATGACGAATTCTCAAGCAAGTATGAGTAATATACAAATTACAGTTAACGAATATAACTATAATATTTCTGAGAAAACTAATCTGCACTTAGAAAACGGCCGCCGGTGATTTAGTGATAGAACGCTCGCTAACCACGAATGTGATCCGAGGTTCGATCCTCGGCTGACTCACTCCTAAACTTCGCTAGGCTGGTAGTAAGGTCGGTAAGCATGGAAGGTTGAGCATGAGGCTAGCAACCACCCTCCGTAAAAATAAAATCCATTCCAACTGAAACTTCAGAGTTCTTGCTTGAAGCTCTATATTCCACTGGGAACTCGAAAGCCTAGAATATTTTTTTTTAAATTAAAAAAACATATCGGAAATTATATGACTATTTATGTTGTTACATTATGACACCGGTTGATATTATGGTCAATGCTTTTGAGTGAAAGACCTATGGTGGACCTAATTAGAGATGAGAAAATAATCGATAATTTGCACCAATACTAAAATATTTCGAATCTGAAGAACTTCTCAGTACACAGCCTGTTGTTCTAAGTCATTTCATAAGTTTGGTGGCTTCCACATTGCGTAGATGTTAATAATAAAGATATTTTCAGTGGTTTGAGTCCATTCTAACCATTAAATGAAAAAGTACGTTTCTATTTTCAAGCATTATTTATCAATTTCAGCATTAGCATAAAATGTAAAGTATAAAAATCTGACTAACTTTTCCTATTTAGAAAAATATTACTATCTGATTTCTAAAGAATTTGATAGATGTCCGTTGTTTATGAATGCTAACAACCAAATTCACTAGACCCAAAAGAATTCAAGGTTTTGTTGTAAATTTCTGACATAACTCTCTATAAACTCATCATTTCCGAGGGCAACTGTTTCAAGGTAGAACTGCAGGCAAAAGAAAACAATTTAATTTAATTTTAGATTTTCCCGTCGATTGATAGGACCAAAGTGCTCAGTCTCAGAGAGCAATGGAATCCAGGATGCGTATTTCATCCTATTTGGGACTCGTGGATAACGCTTCGGAGTTTGAAACTATGGGCACTGGGTTCGAGCCTCGGTGGGAACATCACCACTCACTGAGGAATACAGGTGCATCCAGCTGACGAATTCCAGATGGGACGAAATGCGCACCAAATTAACCTATAAAAGAAAACATTGCTATCAGTGTTACCAGTCTAATTATTTTATTCTTAAATACTATCCAGTAGATAAAATGTTATACATCTATACATCTTTTATCTTTTTTAGTGATATAAATCAAGTTTCATTTTACCGAAGGTTGTTACAAGTTATCTGAAGAGAAACACTTAATTTTGATTAAAATACTCAGTCGTCATCAAATTATTGATTGGAATTAACTGTAATCTTTCTAATAACTATATTCTATTTCATTTGACAGTTTATATTATTTTTCTGGTAGACTATCTAAGTAGAAATAAAAAACATAACCAATAAAAAAGTATACCTTAAAATTTGTTGTCCTAAAATCCAGTGAAATTATAGGAGCGTTCTATTCACAAATAGGTTTAAACTACAGAAGCCATGAGATTTCATTAAGAATATACTTGTCTATAGAATACACAAGTATTAGTATTAAACTAACATGAGATAAGGGATTTCTCATTCTTTGAATAAATAAATTTTATTATTTCTATTCCCTTGGATTCCGGGTGAAACATAAGGCGTCAACAACACATCTCCACTTTTTTCTGTCTTCTTCAACTGAGCTCACGACTGCCCATAATCTACCATCTCCTCATCATCACACAATCGACTCCATTTCACCTTCGCACTGACGACCAACTTGAGCAGTGGCCTCGCGCACGATGTCATTCGATGGCCTCAACGTTCCTCAGCATATGCCCGATCCATCTCCATTTTCTCCTACATATTTGTTGACCTATCGGCTGTTGGTAAATAGATTTATAGCACTGCTTTATGCCACAGTAATACGAGTGAGAAAATATTATGACATCTGAAGAGCATTTGAAGTTAATCAAAATACTGATAAAGTCAGCAAATAAGGACGGATAATAATAATCTTAATAATAAAAGTGGAAAGACAATTCGATTAATTGAAGAATTGGGAAATAAAAATAACTAAAGAGGTTGGATTACCATCATCTGTATACATCAACCAGGCTTCTGAAATGTATGAAAAAAGATACAGGGAAGTGGAAAAATATTCGAAACAATATTATTTTGAAATAATAGAGAAGATTTGTAGCTCCGGTGAATGATTTTCAATTATCAGTGTTCTCTGAGCTGGTTGGTTTAGTTGCGGAGCTTTCGTCGTCCTTCTGGACAACATCTTCAGCATAATTTTTAGCATAAAGTGAAATGATTTAAATTTTTCCATGAGTGATATAATTGCGTCTCCCAGTAACCATCTTTACATATGTATTGACCATTTTCTATTGACTTGGATTTTAAACTTTCTGGTCACCTGATTTACTTCTTATTAGTTGGTATATTTGGTCTATATTAACGTGTTTGTTAATTGCATGTTCATTTGAGTACTAGGCTTCTAAGAATTCCCTGGCACTTTTGGTGTTTCCTCACTCTAAGATTTCGACATTATCCCAATCAAACTGATGTCCATAACTGTCTATATGCACTGGTATGAAAGAATATATATCGTGACTTTTCACGGCTGATTTGTGTTCTTGTATTCTGATTCGAAGGGGATGCCCACTTTGGCCGATGTAATGCCTGTTACAATTAATACAATTTATTTTGTAAATGGTATTAATTTTATCTCCTTTTTCTGTTGGACCTTTCGGTTTGCATACTATCGAATTAAGGGATTCGACTGGCTTGTGTGCAATATCTATATCAAACGGTTTCAATATTCTAGCTGTTATTTCAGAAATATCTTTAATTTATGGTAGGATGAATTTTCCTTTGGTCTTTGATGATGGTTCGTTGTTGGTATTGTGATTCGATTTTAAACACTTTTTGATGAAATTTTGTGGATAAACATTCTTTTTGAAGACCGTTTGTACGTATTTTTTTCCATTCTTTTCAACTCTGGAGTGCTACAGTGTGTTTGAATTCTTTTAAATAATGTCACCACACAGTTTCTTTTGTGAGTAACTGGATTATTGCTAGTATAGTTGAGCATTTGATCTGTGTGCGTTGATTTTCTACATACTTGTGTTTCTAAATTTCCTGTGTTTGTTCTTCTGATTAGGATATCTAAAAATGGGATTTTAGATGTCAAAATCTTAGAGTGAGGAAACACCAAAAGTGCCAGGGAATTCTTAGAAGCCTAGTACTCAAATGAACATGCAATTAACAAACACGTTAATATAGACCAAATATACCAACTAATAAGAAGTAAATCAGGTGACCAGAAAGTTTAAAATCCAAGTCAATAGAAAATGGTCAATACATATGTAAAGATGGTTACTGGGAGACGCAATTATATCACTCATGGAAAAATTTAAATCATTTCACTTTATGCTAAAAATTATGCTGAAGATGTTGTCCAGAAGGACGACGAAAGCTCCGCAACTAAACCAACCAGCTCAGAGAACACTACTAATTACAATATTATTTTGTTTCATTTTTCATTTAGTAAATGATTCCGAACCATGAATCAATTGTGATGCTGTGGAAAAATTTTGAGTATATGCTTGATTGTTGTCTTTTGAACTGAAACATTTGCAGTAAGTCTAGAAGAATTCTATGACTTATTTTTTGAGAAAAAATGTTTTAGGACAACCAAAATATCTGGCTGCATAGAATCAGGTGAAATGATGTGCTTAAAATGCAACCACTAGAAGTGGGAGTTGGACGCCATAATACCCAGGAAATACTTGTGTCTACTTCAGTTTCATGTTCTTGGAAATATGTTCAGAAGTGAAAAGTAAACTCTTTCTGTATCTTCCATGTATTATCTTTGCTACGCAAATGTAAACTTGTAGATTCAAATGACAGCACCATGAGCACAAAATATTCAACCACCAAGCTGATCTATGCATATCAAACGAATTGTTGTTTACCACAATCATAATTGGACAGCTTCCCATCTTGCACTGCCTCCAATTGTCCATCAGTTTAAATTTATCCCCAAAAGCGTATAAACTGACAAGAAATAAAAGTATTTCAGTTCTTACTACTGAACATATTCCAGAGGACCTGAAACAAAAATTTTATAAGAGTGTTACACAGACCAACTGCAAGTTATCTTATATACAATGAAAGTAATGTAGGTAACTTGAATTTGGTCAAGGTAACCAGTGTGTGAAAGGCGCCTAAAATATTTAGTGTTGTTGAAGCAACAGATAACAAAATATTCAAAACAGATCTGTTTTCACAGAGAACACAAACCAATTCATCCTCACCATAAAATAACATTTTAAGGTGTGTGTAGCTTCGATTCCAACCAAGCGAATATGTTAATCGAGGTCCGTCGTGGAAACTGTTTTAATGTAGTGAGACCTGAGAATTCGCCTCATAAGTAACCGTTCCCATCAAGTTCAGCAACTTTAACCCTACTAATTTATACGTTAAAGTATAGGCGATAGGGTTCAGTGACCTAGAAGCGGTTGCTAAGTGGTCGTATAAAGCAGAAATTTACAGCGCCAACGATCCGTTTTGATTCATCCAGTACTTCCGTAGGGTGCAGGTTTACAAGCCAGTTCCAAAAACGTCTCAAAACCTCTCCGTCAACCAACTTATGCATTAACCTTTCCTCAGAGAAATTAGTGTTTATTTGACTCGCTCAGGGCAGTTTCAGTATTCAGATGCTGATCTGTGTCATTCTTTGACTCTACATACTGCGAGTAACTTTTTTTATTTTTTGAAGGATGGTGCAGGGTAGCATCTTCGTGTCCGATATGCAGATATTATTCAAGATTTTAGGGTGGACAGAATTTTCCTACTTAACTACCTACTGCCAATCACTATACAGGGTGAAAAGCAGACGGTTTTACTTGTAAAACTAGAAATCCTTAAATCTACGCTAAATACAATGAAGTCATGAAATTAACGTACAGTAGTGATACACTAGGAACTAAAGGTGATATTTCACTTTGGAGATTAGATTTTAAATTCACCTAAAAAAATCATGCTGCATGTTCAAATTCAGCTGGCCTACTTTTCTAGATAAAAAGAGCTAGAAAAAGTACTCACTACAACAGAACAGACAAGAAAATACAGTAATCATTTCATGTATTTGTATTTAAAAGATCTACGTACTGTGAAAACAAAAAGATATATGCATTCAAAATCGTATAAGAAAATTTTGTAAAATCACAGGCAAACAGCACACAAAGTAGTGAAAGATGCACAATAGTGCAGTAAACAATTAGTTGTTGATGGTTATGGGATTTACCGAAATTGTGAATAACACGGGAACATGGGGCTAGATAACTACATGAATTTTATATTATGATGCATACGATGTAAACGGGACATCCAGTTTATTAGAATAATTTAACAAGATTAAATGCAACGCTGATATTTCCTCCCTAGAACAGCAAGTGTTTTCTGACATTATAGGCCACAGATCATTTGCTGGTTTCTCCGAAATGGCACATTTAAACAAACTAATTTTATGCATATCATATCGAAGGATGACTCAAGCATAGAGACACTGTTACTATGACTAATACTACTACTAAAGAGTGAGAACAAATGACATAGGCAACATGGTGAATAGCAGGCAATTCATGCACCTTCACTCTGTTCCATCATGTCTACCCAACATCTCAAATATTATTCATCGACCCTGTGGCAGCACACATTCAAATTTTATCAAATCGATGTTTACTTAAAAAATCATTTTTATATGCATTTTTCTCCACACTGTCTATGCTAGGCTCACAGCATAGATACAAAACAAAATTATTCGTTACCACAACAAAATTTCACTTCAAAATATAAACAAATCATGTTCTGTTCGCATATAAATTATAAAATATATTAATCCACCTTTTAATTTACATCTAGAAATTGTTTCATTTCCCAAAGGTATGCCACATTTTCTAATAAATAGGATTTAAATTTAAGAGAATTTGTAAAAATCGACTAGTTGAAGAAGTAAAAATAAAAGCCTTATCTCCTTAGTTTATACAATAACTGGTCATAATCAATGGGCTTGGTTAGATAAACAAAGTTGGAATATTCAAATAC